TTTTTCGACTATTGGGCATTAAGAGGAACGACCGACTCCCGGATTGCGAGGAGGGAGCGAGGCTAGTACGCATTCTCTAGCAACTCCATCACTATCCGCAACTAAGTTCGTATAGTGCTAACTTGACCGTGTTAGAGAATGATATAAATTATATCATAGGACATCACCTAACATTTTAAGCTTTTGGATGAGTTGGTTTTATGACAAGATATCGAATCTTGCTAACTTAACGATCAAGAGTTCGAATCCTACCACTCCTACTTTCTCTTCTAATTAATTAAGCACGAGGTAGTGTGAGTCTATGCAAGTTTCAAGCTCAAAGGGCTTTCGGTTGAGAGAGTGTGTTAGAAAATAATATAAATTATATCCTAAAGTCTCACCTAACGAGTTTACGCTTTTGAATAAGTTGCTTTTGTAATAAATTGGCTTGCTTGTTGCTTGGGTGGTAGCTTCCATCTTCTTGATACCACAAAGTGGTAGATGAGGAGCTAGCAACGGAATGTGAGTAACATCCGGATGCATAAGTTCCGATACCTTATCTTCTCTGCGCCTTCTTCCTCTCGACAACTTCTAAATATATATTGAACATGTCAATATCTAGAGATGATGAATCACCTTTATGTTTTTTCTTAATAATTGCTTCTTACATTGATTGCACACGCTCCTATATCATTGAAATAATTACAATATTAAATAATTAATATATTTTTTTTATTTTTATTTTTTTAGATTACATCGGTTATATATATATAATCTTACCATTATTGTTTATCATCGCTTACCGACGAATGTCTTATTTTTTCGCTTATGAGTGGTTATGAACAACTCGTAAGGATTTTGATTACGATCCAATTTTTTAGATGTAAAACAATTAAAATGCTCTTTATCTCTTGCATTAATAATAATAATAAAAGATATTTGTTTATTATGCTCTTGTATATAGCTTAAAAAGATAAAATATCAAGTTTTGTTGTTGTTTTTTTTTAAAAAACTTAATTACTCATGATCGAAAAGTTAGGACATAATTCGTAAGTTAATTTAATCCTCAATTCAAATGGGAAAAAATACAGCGAAATAAAAAACATTTGAAGTCGAAAAGACTAGTAGTTGGTTCTAAGATTTGAGACTTTGAATAAGTTGCTCCAATGAAGGAACCTGTATCGTAGATCAAACGTGCTTGTTTGAAGAAGAGTTTGATTGTTGCTTTCAAGGATGATTGTAACTAATCAAAAAGAATAATCAACCATTATCCAAAAAAATTATCTAAGGAACTCGAGTCGATTAAATAAGTGATTTTGAATTTGAATCTTAATGTATGTAAAAAAAATTTTAAATAGCTATATTTACTTTTGTGTCCGATAGAATAATAAAAAATTAGTATGAACTTTTAAACTAGGATACTTATTAAAAGGAAAAAAAAATTCAACCATTGAATTCCTGGCAAAAGAATTAGAAATCTCGACTGGACTTGCATTTCTTGATTGTGGCTAGACCATCGGAAAACGAGACAGAACGTTGTGGCGTGCATACCGTTGGCCCAAACTTGTTCCACAACAAGGCTGTGATGGCCAAGCCAAGCCCGAGCCCAATTAATGATTTGTAAAGAAAAATATAACCCCAAACTTGTCCAGCGGCAAGGTTCTGATTTCCATGCAAGGCCCTGGCCCAATACAGATAACTTCTATTAAATCCATAATAAAATGTCACCAAGAAAAAGTGAATTATCAAATTCTACGAATCACCAATATAATTACAATAAATATTTCTAGAAGATGTATTTAAGTTTGAATAATTAGTCCGATCTAACTATGGGCAGATTCTTCTGATCTAAACCTCAACTTCTGGAGAAAATAAAATACCATATATGCGAGAAAGAGAGGAAAGATTTCATTCTCATGGGAGACAAATGTTGAGAAAGTACCATTTAGGGTCAAAATGTGGAAGAAACTTTAAATTTATAGCTAAGGTGTAGGGATGAATCTAATTACAAGTACCGAATGCCTAGAAAGGAACGATATACTCAGCCGCTTTTGGTATCAACCCAAGTAATTAATCTTCTTTTCTTTTTCTCTATTTCTTCATTATCTATCAGTTCGGCTTTTAACTGATCAGACCAGAATGTTAATTTCCTAGTCTTAAGTTTCTCTCTCTCTCTCCAAACAGCGATTTTATGCAGATCTTGCTTCTGTATTGCTTTCTCTCCAAGTTGGATTAGGTTTCTTTCCCTCGGGATGTTTAATTTTGGGTTGGTATTGAAAAAGAGGAAAGATCCTCGTGTTTTCTGGGCAGTCTTTTCGTCAACAATAATATTGTGTGTTATCATCTTCATCATACTCACCAAGTGATCTCTTCATAGATCAAGGCAACGCATACAAACACGATTTGTTTATGTATCCCTGCCTCCTCCTGCCCTAAAGTTTACAGTATTAGTAATAAAAAACATGAACTAAAGCTTAATTAATTAACAACAGTATAAACTTAAACATAAATTACTCGTTATTTGCCTCCTTTTCTTGGGATAAATTCACCCATCCATATATACTCTTTTTTTTTTCAACCTAATATTTTCAATCAAAGAGAAATGGTATATTTATCTCAGGTTTGGTGCTCTATTTTGCTGGCTGTTAAAGATTTCTTTTCAAGTTTCTTTTGATTATTTCTCCCTCTATTGGTTATGTTTCAGATTAGGAACTCCTTCGTTTACTGAAGTTAAGCTTTTGCATATGAACCACTTGCTTTAATTTTCTGTATTCTTGAGCTGAGCGGAAGATTTAATGTTGTTAATTTACCTTCAATTAACCACATATAATATCCCTTGCCTGCACTTTATTGCACTGCTGGTTTTATTGTATTTAGGAAAACTTAATTGACGAACCTGTTAATTTCTTCATGAAGATATATGCCATCTTCACTATATATATACTGACCCCAAGTCCCTTCATTTAAAACAATAAGTGGTGTTTCAGCCTAGAGGTGTATCATTTTTTATTTTTTATTTTTTCATTTATATCATTTTGATAAGCTGGAATCGTTTATTGATTCATTCAAGAAAGCTAAGTGTGCTGCAATTGATTATCACATCAATCCAAGATACTATTGTGCAGGTTCACAAAGTCTGAGTCACTGATTGAGGATCTCCATCACTTCATTTTGATTGAAGAAAAAAATTTACAAATAAACAAACCATGCAAAAATTCCATGTTAACAAATTTGTCAATTATTGCGGAGTTGTTAATCTCAGAACATCAAATAATTGATCAAATATGAACAATGTAAGTCTTAAGTCCTTTTTGTTTGAATATTTGGTAGAATTTGTTTGTTTGTATAGCTAGGAGAAATTATTATGCATGTCAGGAGTTTTACTCTGTCCTCTCACAAAAAAATACGGAATTTTTTATGAAATAATTTACGATTCATATTTTTGGGAGAGGGAGGAATATGGTTCCTGAAATGCTGAATAGTTCATCAGAATTTGTTGGCTTTCTATGATGTTCTTTTATGCATGTCTGTTTCTAAATGCCATTTATTTCATACTCCTGTCCCTTTGAAAATCACCATTAATTTCAGGGTTCTTGGATGATTGCTCAATTTGCACGAGACAATGTAACTACACCTTTTGTCACTGGTACAAAGAAGTTGCATTATGTACTGTATTATTCCTGTTGTTCTCCAAACTTTACTCAAAATTAATGCCAAATGTTCAATTAATGCTGCAGTTTCATCACCCCGACCCTCACCTTCATGCCAACTACGAGAACAAGATTGCAGCGGCCGTTAGTTAGTGTACTATTGCTAATCCGGGACCAAATGACCATAAGAATCAGCCGGGCCCAATTAAGGGTCCATGCAATCCCTCTCATTCAATGATATTCGTCCTGAACATTAAAAGAGGTAATACCGTATTGCACTTTGTGAGAAGCAAATGAACCTTACTATTTTGTGTTACTCCCACAATATGTTTGAGAAATTTCATTTGAAGATATAGGTAAAACAAACAGAATCCGGCCCCTCAATCTATTAAATTGTTTGGAACAAAAATCCGGCAGTATGTTTTGTTTTCATATTAGAAATAGAGAAGACGATTAAATAAGAGAAAATGATTTTATTGAATGGTGAATTAGTATAATCCTTCAGTTTGAAGAATACTCTGCAGATGTATCCAATGTATTTGGTTCTGCGTGAACTTGAATTGAATCGAATATGTTAAGCAAAAAATGGCGAACGCTTTTCATCAGATATCATATGATGCATTTGTTTAGCAAAATATATTAGAGAGAGAGAGAGAGAGAGATGAGATCAAAGATCAAAGATGCTCAATTGCTGACTGAAATTATCACTTTTCCTTGGCAGTGGAAATAAATGTAGAAGGTTTTTTTCTTAGGAAAATAAAAAACCACGTGATAGAAAGTTTTGGGAAGCAAGCCCTAAAAAGAACGGGAAATCCATATAAAGATATTAAACTATTAAAGAAGCCTGATTAGAAGAAGGCATGGAAATTATTAAGAAACATGAAATTGTTTAAGAATGTAAGAATTTCCAAGGTAAACATAATTCATTCATTTGGATTTGCCAGAACAAATGTTTGGCTTTTTCATGTAAAAGCAAATATTTTGAAATCAAACAATTTGTTATCTACTCAGAGTGTTATGGGCATGTGCTCGTAGCTTTAATTGACAAACTAGTGCTGTCAGTTGGATAAAATATTATGTAGAATTCATTATTTACTAGTTGATATCGCTGACGATTTGAAAACTTCCAAGTATCAACATCAAAGATCGGATGGATTTGGGGAGCTTTAGCAGCTAGGCTTCACTAACATTATAGACTTCAAAATCCTCTCCCAAACCATTGCCAAAATAAGCCAATAGCAGCTAGATAGCCCCTATTCTTATGGGTCTTCTAAAAAGAAAGCTTAAAACAAGTACCCTAATAACAGTTAAAGCGAAGATAGGGATATGTGGAGCGGGAAGTAACAAAGAAAACCCTAATAGCTCCACTTCCTAGTAAGGAGTGACACCCACATTGGCAGAAGCAAAAAACCCATCTTTCATGAGCACGTCCTCTCCTTCCTACACAAATTAAACAACATATTTAAAAACTAAAATGCCCTTGAAAATAGGACACCACGCACTTCAATTCTCAATAATTTGTATAACAAAATGTTAAAACAAGTGTTGGATTTGTTAGGGTTTCCAATCAAAAGTACCTGTTGGCGCACGTTAGTTTTCTTCACGGGTTGATCAGGCATAAGTCCGAAATGGATATTTGGAAAATGGGCCCACTGAAACAAACAAACAAATTCACTACAAATCAAGAAAATTTATACTATTTCCCTATACACCTATTCATTAATTTACTCATAGCTAATGTAGCAGTAGCTGCATTATGAAACCCTAGGCAAACAGTAATAACATTTTGAGTTTTCTTGGATCTCACATTCTTGGCAGCTGCACTAAATGCTTCTCTGTGACTTATATCAGGGTTTGCAGCTTTGATACGTTGGATCTCGTCCCTGCAAATCGGTACATAATATTGTAAAGATCATGCATATCCTTTATAGAAAAATACAAATTTCTGACAATGGCAATTAATATAAAGAATTTTAAAATACTAGCTAACACCATATTCAAGTTTTAAATTTGTATTTTCATCACATTTATATGTGCATGGTGATGATAATAATGTAAAGTTTATAGTATGAAGAGTACTTACTTGATAAAGCGGTTGTAGGCAGATGGGACTCTTTGTCTCTTTTCTGGAGCTGAACATGGAAAGCAGAGACATAGCAACGACAAAGAAACAGACAGATCTTTAAAATCACATCGCTGACTTTGTGTAAGATTTCTGCTTTTATTATCTCTCTCTCCTCATCATTAGTTCATCATCATCTCTAAAGGATCTATCCATGGATTCTGTATCTATATTTCCGGGGGAGAAAGCTGAAAACTCTCTCTCATATGGATAGAAGTGGACCAATTATATAAAGGCGAGCTACATTTTACATTTTAGGGTTAATAATGAGATAATGCATGCAATGAAAGAAATTCAAGGACCAATTTGAGGAAAGATACAATAACAATATCTGCGTGATGTTTTCTTGGTAAATTTTGGAAGATGTTAGTTAAGAATTCTTCGAGAGAAAGAAAAGGAAGAAGTACTGTGGCAGATTGAATAGCTATGGAAGCCTCAGAGTAATGCAATTGAACTATTAGCTGCAAATCTACAGTAGCCCTATTGCTAGTACTGAATAAAGTTGAATAGCATGAAGAAGGCCAGACACGATATGAGTGTCCGAAAGATGCTTGGTACATGAAACAAACCAATATATCTAGTGCACTGTTGTTTTTCAATTACTTTTTCTTGATCAGTTAAGAGACTGTAGCTACTGTATTTTTTTTTTTTCTGTAAGATAAGCAAAAGTGTAATGGTGCTTGAAAAAATTTCTAGGAAGTTAAAAGGAGACAGTTGAAGTCAATTAATAATGAGCCAAAATTTGTTAGAGTGCGGCTGCTCATAGACAAGTGAAAATGCCAAAGACAAGTCAAAGAAATGAGGTAAATGTGAAGAATCTCACGTCTGTTAACCACGGGTGGTTTAGGGATCTCTTCAACTCCTCGAATTGGCATAACAGATTCATTTGGATTTGGCTGGTTGATCAGCAAATTTGGTGGTGCTCCACTCCTGATCTCCTCCTAGAATTACCCCAGTAACCATGGATAACCAAGAATTAATAGCCAAGTTTAGATACATTTCTACATAGGCGCGCACACAGAGACATATATAATTAAGGACTTGTGTAAGAAATCAAAGAAATTTTATTTTTAATTAATTGTTATAGTACTCCAAACTCTAATGTCTAAAAGGTGTTAATACCAAAAAAAAAAAAAAAAAAAGGGTAAAAAGAGAAGAAATGAAGCATTGATGTGTTTGAAACCCGAAAACATTCTTGATATACCAGGATATTCTGAGGATTGAAGAAACCATGACCAAGGTAAAATTGATTAGCTGCAGGAAGTAGGCCACGCATGTTCACAGACAAAAGGTTGGTGCAGTGACCGCATCGAACTGTAACATTCTTGAACAAGCTGGTGCAAGGTACACTCACCTATAAAAGATACAATTCAAACCCTTTAGAAATCCATTGAAGAATAATAAAAAGAATTAAGAAGTCAATGAGGGTTTGCTCAATTGGCTCGGATTCTGGTTCAAGCCTCCATAAGGAGAAGAAGAACACTAATGGCACGGAAAATTAGGGCTAAGAAACAATGGGGAGAAAATGATACCGCTAGGACAGTGTCACAGAAGTTGCAATGGACATAACAAAGCTGTTCGGAGGAAGAGAGGTGGTCCGATGAAAAGGCAGCTGAAGAGGAGGACATCTTTTTTATGATAATTTCTTAAAGAGATTTTGTTGATTTGATTGATGGATTGACTGAACAGTGGATTTTTTGATGGAACAAAAAACAATCCTCTTCCTTGGATCTGATCTTCTTGACTGTTGAGTTGTTACTATAGCAAAGAGAAAAGAGAGAGAAGTGAAAGAGAAAGAGAGGAAGTTGCTACTACTAATATACAGTAGATAGAGCAGAATCAGAAAGTCTTCACCTTCTCTCTCCACTTCTTGATACTAGAATTTTTTTTCCTTCTTTTTAATTACTCTATTGTTTAACGTTTTTACATGTTTTTTGTTGCTGTACAAGTTGTTGATGTATCATAAACAGGCAGCAGTAGAGAGAGAACGCTAAAGAGAAAGCAAATGAATGGTTGGCATTCCCAATGGGCAATGGATGTGTGCGTGCTTTTGAGAGAGAGAGAGAGAGAGAGCAGAGGCGGCAGAGGTGGGGAGAGGTGGGGAGTGAGAAAAGGACGTTTGCATGGGTTTTGGCTCATTCAGCTGTTGTTATCATAGTTAAGATGGATGAGAAGGAAAGACACAGCCTTTTCTTGGTTCACTACAATTCCAAGTGCTTAGCTCCAAAAAAAAAAAAAAAAAAACACATTTGATGCTTATACTCGTTTTGACTTAATTAATAAAAGCCCTAAAATTCGGGCACCTGTGATCTTCTCTACGATTGGGTTGTTATTAATTTGACTTCTTAGTATAAGCCTTGTCCCAATCCCAGTTTCTCATTTCATTCTGTTTTGATTTTCGTAAGTCTTGTCTCACTGATGAAATTACTGCAATATTGTTTTTTAATTAATCACCTTTTTCTGTTTGAAGGTTTTAATTTGATGCCATTAGAAAAATCATTGTAGTCCTGCTTGCATCTACACTAAATTTTTGTGTAATATATAATCATTCGCAGTGGTGTGGGTAATCCTACAAGGTAATTTCGTTTCTCTATCGTATTTTTGTTTCTATAATCATCAATCTTTGTTTTCCTCAGTAATAGTCATTTATGATTGTTTCATATTTTATTTTCCGTGCTGCCATTTCTGTTCATTAGCGATTCACATATCACATGGTTTGTTAATCATCAAATAATTTTAGGTGATGATGCATTCCTTTTCTTCTTCTTTCCTTTCTTGTCGAATATGTTCTACAAATTGCCTTTGAAACTTGCATGTGTGTATACACATAAACATACAAGAATGTTTTTTTTTATTCATTATTAGTGGGGTATATATGAGTTTTTCAGGGACACCACAACTAGTCCTCCCTTGTTTGAAACTAGGTACTTTAGAATGGCTATCTAAGGTTAGTGAACAACGCATATTAATTAGTAATAAAATTAAGGAGATAAATTATGCGAGTGAAATAGTTTGGTCATGTCCAATCTAAGCTACTGGAAGCCTGGTTTTGGAAATGGGATAAGATGTAAGTGGAAAGAGGGAGAATGAGAAAAAGAATACCATCTAAGATAATGTAACAAAAAGTGGCATCAAAGAATCTAAAATATCTCGATATTAAGATAGATTTGATTCATGATCTAGTTGAAATCCACCAAAAATCCATGTAGTAGACCTTGATTAGCTTGGGATTAAGGCTCGATTGTTAATGTTGTGATGTTGTCGATCCTATCAAAACAATTGTTTCAATTCCTATATAATGTGTTTATGTAATAACTTTCAAATTCCTATAGATTCGGTTTATATATAATAATTTTTCATCAACAAAACTGGGAATAGAAGCAATGCTCGAGTTCCCTAACTTATTTTGATAACTGCTTAATTGGGATTCCGGTTTGTATTGAAGCACAATTTCTGTTTTGGAATTTGTCTTTTTTCATATTTATAAATAGTAGGGTATTTTTAGATTTTTTTGGACCACATAACTAGTTTTTTTTACATAATCAAATCAATTATTTTGTCAACAAAGACTTATTTTATTTTTGAATTTACCCCACATTTGGTTTCGGTATTTTTAATTTTTTTTTATTTAGACCATCTACTTTTTTAACATGATTGAGACCTTTAACTCTTGGACACTTGTTAATTCAGACATTCTATTGTATTTTTGTCAACTATTCATTTTACATGACACCTTACAATTAATAAAAATCAATTACAAATAAACACGTGGCATAGTAGGTCTCAATTAACAATATCTCCACCCAAGATAAATAACATTCCCCCACTCCATTATTGAACTAATATTTAATATATAAGACGTTTTTATTATTAAACTAATGTTTCGTATTAAAACATTATAGGAAAAAATAACATTGTCCCCATTCCATTATTCCAACTGGAACATTTTTTTGCTGTCAGGAAGAGTTTTGCTGTTGATAACACTGCAGGCCAAACTCTTTATTTGTTCTTGAATCTTAAATCTTAACACTGTAGGAAATTAAGGGATTGCTACGGAATTATTTACTACAAATGTTGTTTATGAAGAGAAAGGTATGCTTTTATTCAAATCTAGAAGATACAAATTCTTTTAGATATCTTGATGTAGGTTGACTTTGTAAAACAAAAGTGTAAGAAGACGAAGATGAAGGAAGCTTTGTTGACAAGGATAAAGAAGGATCGGTGGAGGCACATTAGCGTAATCTCCACTATAATTAATTTTAGATCCTTTTATTCAAATTTGGAAGATACATATTTTTCTCACATGTACTTATCACCCCAACATTTGAAAGAGGTTTTGAAAACTTAACTCAATCAAAAAATTTTATTTATTCTTGAATATTAACAGAAATTTTGTAAAAACATCCAAAATCACCACTAATACATAAATATTTCCTTATTAAAACAACCTTTTATGTTTCTTACTCATGCATAACCGAGTGTTCGATAAATTTAGGAAACGTTAAATTCATAATTTTTCTTCAAAAATCACATTGCTTACAAGAAATTAACAATCAAATCAATCAAAACGTTCAAATCCACATCAAATTTTACCTAAAACCCAAAAGATGAGGAAAAAAATCAATTAAAAAACTAATTAGATGTGACTTAAATGCAATAGAAAAACACAAAATCAAAACAATAATAGTTACAATCTAATAATCACATCAACCAAAACATTCAAACCCACATCAAATTTTATCAAAAAAAAAATCAGATGCGACTTAAATGATATAAAAAAACACAAAATAGCATCGCATTTGTTTTTTTTTCATGCACACCAATCAAAATCTTTCAACCAACAATGAAATTTAAAAACAAAAAATCTCATCTGACTTTTTTCAAGCCAAAATCTTTCAACTATAAATTGAAAAACAAAAAAATTGCTTTTAGTTTTGGCAGAGAAGAGAGTGCAAATGTGAGAGAGAGTGAGTAAGGAAAGGGGCATGCTTCTAGTTTTTGCAAGAAGAGAGTGTGATTGTGAGAGAGTGAGAAAGGAGTTTCAAATCTGATTATCTAATTTTGACAGCCTTCGTATGTGGGAGAGATGAAGAGGTGGCTGGAGTGAAAGAATGATTTGGATTACGATAATTGACAGTGGGGGCAATGTTGTCTTTTCTTATAACTTTTTAATGCTTAAGTATTAGTTTAATAATAAAAATATTTTTAATTCCTTTTTTTAGGATGGAGACACTGTTAATTGAGACTTACTATGCTACATGCTCATTTGTGATTAGTTATCATTAATTATAAAGTGTCACGTTAGATGAACAATTGACAGAGTTATAATAAAAAATTTGAATTAACAAATTTCTAAAAATAAAAGATTTCAATCAAGTAAAAAAAAAATCTTAATAAAAAAAATTTGAAGAATATATGAATCAAATATATAGTAAAACCTTTTTATTTTTCTTAGAAACTGATTCCAAATGTAATGGTTAATAAAATTAGAATTAAAAAGTTGTCCAATAATAGAATTTGAGCTTATAACCTCCTTATATCTTAAATTTTTTATCATTTATTTTGGATTTGCATGATTTGTTGAAGATATATCACATACCAAACCTCCAGGCTCCAGCAAACAATTGCTACCACCAATGGTGTTAGGCTTCATCATGTGAGGATTTAGAATTTGTCATATACGCCTCCATGTTTAACATGGGAGAATTAAGATAGATGGTTGGTGAGGTACACGATTGAAAGGAACATAAAGTTTTATGATACATACTTAATGTGGAGATCAAATTCCATGTCGGCTTGTTGCAGAAATTTTTGCAGACGTCGAGTTCCATATCGGCTTTTAAGTAAATTCTTCTATCCTTCAAAAAAACTCATAATCATTAAAAAAGTATGGAAACCTCGTTGAGCTAAATTACGAACATAAGGGAAAAGCACAAAAAAAAACTAGCCAATCACATTATTATATTAACAACTAATTTATTGCCCATACTATATTTATATATTATTTTAATTTGACACCTTACGTTATATTACAGATCTTTTAAAATATATCGAATCAAAGATAAAAAGAATTATTAATCAAAATCTTATATTTAATTGATTATTATTTATTTTTTTTTATATATTTTTAATTGAAATAAACATGATTTGTTATTTTGTTTACGTTGATTCTTCAATAAAAACCTCAAACAATCTAATTGATTATTTTTTATGTTTTTTTTATAAAACTTTAATTGAAATAAACTTGATTTTTATTTAAATTTTTAAAATAATTTAAATATTTTTTTTCATAAGATTGTTTTAAAAAAATAAAGTTACAATTAATGTAAAAACTTGTTTAAAAATTAAAAAATAAATTATTTTTTCTTCTTATTTAATGTTGATGAGAAGATAATTTTTTTTAATATATATATATATATATATTCTATCATAAAATAATCAATAATATATCATTAAAAATTGTATTTAAGTGGCTATTTTTTTAAAAAAATATTTTAATTATTTATTAATTTGAAAGAAACTAATTTTAAAATAGCCAGAAGAAAAAAAACATTTTCTAATGTTTAGAGTTTGTGTGTGTGTGTGTGTGTGTGTGTGTGTGTGTTGATGTTCTATTCAAAACATCCAA